GCGTTCACTTTATTCACTTTTAAATTCCTCTGCAGGCCCGGCCCGGCGGGCGCCCCCCGCTGCGCTGCCCCGCCCCCGCCGCCCCGGGCCTCGGCCCGCAGCCCGGCCCCGGCCCACCTGGCTCAGCGCCGCCCTCGGAGCCCAGGCACCGACGAGCCAGCCAGCTCCCAGGGCCCAGCCCGCCCGGTGCCCGGCTCTCTGGGCGGACCCTGGCCTGCGTGCCCCAGCCGGCGATGGCTCCACTCGGATATTTCTTGGTGCTCTGCAGCCTGAGGCCGGCGCTGGGGAGCTACCCGATCTGGTGGTGAGTGTGCCCGGGCCGGGGCCCCGCAGCCGCTCCCGGCAGGCGCGGACCCCGCGCGCAGCCACCTGGCCGTTTGGGTCAAGGCTGGGACGCGGGTGGCAAAGCTTCCGGGGACCTGGATTCCCCGGGCCTGCGGTGAGGGTGGAGGTCCCAGCCGTCCCGGCGTCGGGCAGGGAAAGGGGAACCAGGGCGAAGGCCAGGCGACGGGCGCACGCGAGGACGAGCGGGCCACGCTGAGCGGAGGCAGAGTGGCAGACTCGGGAGGGACCATTTCGCGCGCGCGTGCGCGCACTTTAAAACAAAGTCGGTGGGACAAGACCGAACAGCTCGAGGAGCAGTTACGTAAAGACAGGCGGGCGGCGGGCGGGGGGTGGCGGGAGCAGCGGTGCGGGGCCATCCCAGCCCGCGACTCCCGCCATCGGCGTCCTGGCGCGGGGGCCGGGGGCGCGCTCGGCTGGGGAGGGGCGTGGAGGGCAGAGCCGCGGATCCCAGGGCTTCCTCGGGGATCCCGGCCGCATCCCGGAGGACAGGGCCGCTCCTCGTCCTCCCCTGGGGCGAGGCGCGCTGCTTCGAGACCCTCCCGGGCGTGGGGGCGCAGCGCAGGTGAACAAAGGGCCTCCCCGCACACACCCCGGGAGGAGTGGGCCCCTTCCCGGGCAGTCAGTTGCCCAGAGCCCGGGCCACCACACGAGGGTCTCTGTCCAGCGAGGGCGCGAGGGCCTCCGCACGAGGCGGAAATCAGCGCCTTGAGCCACGGACCAGGGTCTGAACCCTCCCGGCAAACGCGCGCCCCCCCGCCAGGAGCCCGCTCCGACGGCTTGCCTGGAATTATAATAATTACGCCGGGGGGGGGGGCGCAGCTACCCGGAGTACCTTTAATCCGATAATAATTTTTCTCTTCGAGATGGTTTAGGAGAGGAACCGCGGAGCCGCGGAGCCCGGAGCCCAGAGCCCGGAGCTGGGAAGGCAGGGCTGGGGCCCGGGGCGGCGCGAGGCCGGGAGAGGCTGGGGCGGCGGAGATGCGCCCGGGACCCGCGCCCCTGCCGGCTCCCGAGCGTCGGGACGGCGGGCGCGCCCTGGGGCGCTGGGACACCCACGAGCGTCGCACCCGCCGCGGGCCGCCGGGCAGCGTCCGAGGAGCCCCGCGGGCTTCGCGCCTGACCTGGCTTCTAATTAGACCCCGCCGCGCCGCGCATTCGGGGCCACAGGAAGCGCCCGCGCCCCCGCGCTCCCCCCAGAAAGCCTTTCGACGGGCTGGGAGCCACCCGCGCGCCGCCCTGAGACCTTTCACCCAGGAGTTCCGGGGGTCTCTGGCCATGCCCACCCACCCCAGCACAGCAATAGCACCCTTGGCACGGGCTGTCCTGCCCGGAAAGGGCCCTTGCACACCCTGACGTCTCGGGTGAGCGACGCAGAAGTGAGGCCTCTGGACCCCCGCTCCCCGGGGTCTGCAGCGCTGTGGCCCTGGGAGGCCCGGAGCGGCGTGGAAGCCCCCCGGTCCTGAAGGCGGGCCGGTGCGGACCTCGGCCCGCCCCCAGCCTGCACTGCTCCGGGCGGAGTCTCCCACCTCACCGGGCTTCCTGAGAAGGGGCCCAGAGAGATGCGCTCCCCGGGGCCCGGATCAAGGCCGCTGGTGCCCCAGGAGGGCCAGCGGATGGCGCCTGTACCGAGCGAGCCAGGGTGGGCACAGCGGGGAGGACGCGTGACGGCGACACGGGTGGCGGGTGGCACTGAAATCGCTCCTGTCCTCCTGGTCTCCACCTTCCGCCTGGCCACACGCCGAGGCTCTCTTCTCCTGCCCACTCCTCGAATAGAGGGCACGCAGGGCTGCAGGGGACCGCTGGCCCCTGGGAGGGCAGAGCCAGCCCGCGGGGACCTCTCCCTGAAACTTCACCCTCCTCGGTTGCTTCCCCTCCGCCCTCCCCCAGCTCCCGCCCGCTCGCACAGGAAAGTGAAAGTGACGGCGGGAACCTCCTCACCTGGGAAGCGCAGCCAGGAAGCAGCCCCAACCCGGAGCAATTAGGCTTTGAAGCTGGTGTGGCTCTTGGGGTGAGGGAGGGAGAGAAGATGCTGCCGCCCACCGCGGCCCCCGCCAGCCCCAGGCGAGGCTCAGCGGGATGCGTTTGTCCGCCGGGAAGCCGCAGTGCAGCCAGCCGGGTCCGTCCGAGCTGGGCAGACCGCCGGGACCACGCTTGCTGGCTCTCGAGAGGCGGGAGCCTAGGCCGGGGGCCTCCCAGCTTGCTGCTGCCCCACCCCAGCCGTCTGGGACGTGCAGCCCGGCCCCCGCCACTGCCCTGTCCCATTCCCTCCCGAGGAGCCGAGGACAGGCCTGGGCTCTGTGGAAGCCCGGTGCCCCCCCCTCCGTGTGCTCTGGGCCTCCCTCCTTCCTCCCCGCTTCCCAGGTGGGGCCTAGAGGTCGCCCCTCTTCTCCGGGTCTGAGCCGGGGGCAGGCGTTCACTTTATTCACTTTTAAATTCCTCTGCACCTCCCGGGGCCAGCTCTTCCCATCTCACCCTCCTCCCTCCTGAGCCAGGGGCTGCTTCACCCGCCGACAGCCCTGCGTGCCTGCCCCTTCGAAGCCTGGCCCTCTCCCTGCCCCGGCCCAGTGCCTCCCAGGAGCCAGGGCCGCAGCTCAGGCACAGCGGTCATTGTCAGGTGCTCATCAGGCCCGTGGCCCTCGGGCTGGGAGGGGAGAGGGTGCAGAAAGGTGACTGTGACCTGGGCAGGTGGCCACAGCCGGGGCAGATGAGCAGGAGTGGGCAGGTGATAGCAGGAGCCCAGGGCTGCTGAGGAAGGCATCTGGGCCCCCAGGACAGACAGGCAGGGCCGCCTTTCTCCTCCTGAGCTGCCTCTCTCTCTCTCCCTCTCTCCCCCCCCCTCTCTCTGTCTCTGTTCCGTCTCTGTTCTCTGTCTCTCCCTGTCCCTCAGTCAGTTTCCCTCTGTACCCCGAGGACACCGAGCTCAGTAACCAGCTCCTAAAACCTACAGGACCAGGGGGACCCAAAGCACCAGCCACCTGCTGTTCTCCAGGGCTGGGATCTCTGGCGCTGAGCTGGACCTGGCTATCCAGACTGGCAACAGTCAGACTTCACAGGGAACCATCAGAGCTGGCCGGCTAGCGTCCCTGGCCTCACCTTTGCTGGTTCCTTTCTTGCCCTGTAACCAGGCACTGGTGGCTTGGGGACATTAATGGCTGGTGGCCACTCATCTACCAGCTCCAGTCACAGACCCCAGCCTAGGGGACAACTCCGTGTGGCTGGGGAAGGAACCAGGACTCATTGCCATCCCACCAGTGGTTCCCCGATGCAGATGCAGAGCACACCTGTGAGCAACAGCTCGCGCGCTGTGAAGAGGAAGGCGCAGCATGCAGGGCAGCATCCTGTACATCTTACCAGGATGTGCTGGAAGTGCCAGGAGCCCAGAGTCTGGAGGGATGGAGGGAGAGGGCTGGCTTCCAGACGCTTCAGGGACCCAGTCAGCCACAAGGTCAGCCTGGGCTGGAGGAGCTGGATGGAGGCTGCAATGGTGGCACGTGGGGAGGCAGCTTCTCCAGGGCACAGGGTGCGCCGGTAATGGTGCCCGGGAGGCCGTGAGCTGCAAAAGCTGAGGGCCGTGCATGGTGCCCTGGCCCTGCCCACGGAGCGCCACGAGATGCAGCTGAGGGCCGCGGCTCCACAGCAAGGTCCTGGACTAAACCCCGGAAAGGCGCAGCCCTGTCCCAGAGCGGCTGCCCCTGATCTGAGCAGGGCTGACTGCAGGGGACACACACAGGCGTGGCATGGCCATCGCTGTCCGTCCCGGCCCTGCCCTGCTGGCTGCCACCATCTGTGAGGTCAAAGGGACAGGGCCAGATCAGGTGCCCTGAGGCCTGGATGTAGTACGCGGGCCGGGCAAGAACACTTTCACGTGGCTGCCGCACCATCCTTCGGCCCCTGCGCTCCCGCCCTGCGCCCTGCCGTGCCTCGGTCTCCCTCCCCAGATGACACCCTGGAGGTGCACGTACTGCTTCCACATTCCTTCCCCGAACGTGCCCTGCCGCTGCCGCTGCCGTCCGGGACGCTGCAAATCCATGGCCGCCGGCATGGCAGCCTCCCCGCCTGCCGGGACTCGCTCAAAGTATGTGTCAGTAATCCCGCTCGGTCCGCCCCGGGGCCAGACAGGCGCTGGCGGCCCGGCCCCTCCTTCCCCGTGCAGAGGCTGGGCTCAGGACTGGGATGGCCCCTCTGGGGAGGAGAAGTCCAGCCTGGGGCTTGGGCAGCCTGTGTCAGGGAGGTCACGCTCAGCCCATGCTGGGCTCAGCTCTGGGGATGGGAGCTGCGTCCTGGCTGCTGTGGGGAGCCCCGAGCTCAGGGACAGCAGCTCAGAACTGGCCCAGGGCTGTCTGAGACAGACCCCCACCCCTGGCCTGGGCACAGCTGCATCCCCACCTTCCTGGATCCGACTTTCTTACTGTGCCCGGCTCCGTGCCAGCCAAGACAAGAGAGGGCGGGTGAGGCTCTGCCTGCTCAGGTGCAGGAGGAGGTGTCAAGTGCTGGGGCCAGGGGTGCACCATATCCCTAGAGCCGGTGCCCCCAGGAGACCCAGGAGGGCCCACCTGTTCAGCCTGCTCTCCTGTAGAACCAATGTGATCGCCTCATTTACAGATGGGGAACTGAGGCCCAGAGGGGAGACGATGTCACAGGGAACAGTGACTGAGTCTAGACTCAGCCACAGCCCCAGTGCCCCGCTGGACCCTCCCTGCCCAAAGCCTGGCCGGTCCTGTGCTTGCTCCTCAAGCCCCCAGGATCAGGCGGACACAGGCAACATCCTCGAACACGGGCTGCCCAGTGTCTTGTGTTCCCCTCAAGAGAGACTGAGGGGCCTCCGGCACTGTGGTGCCATGTGGGGGAGCTGGACCCCGGGCCCCCCAACCTGCACAGGACACAGCAGGTCCTGCCTCTGCCCTGAGCCTCCAGCCTTGCACAAACTGCTGGCCTGTAGCCAGTGCCGCCTTGGGGAGTAGGGGAGACCCATGAGGCCAAACAGGAGTGGGGCCTCGGCCCAGGAGCCTGGACCGGCTCCTTCCTCCTGCATGTCACAGCCAGCAGCTGCTGTATCCCTGGCCAGGTGCCCAGCCTTTCAGCAGGATGGAGGGGGAGGAGAAAGAAAACCATTAGTGCTTGGGGGGGGTGCAGGTGTGGCTCCCGTGGCCATGGCCACAGGCCTTGTCGTGAACCTGGAGATGCCGCTTTCCAGACGCCTTTCTGCGCACTTCAGTGGGCTCCTCTTACACTGCAGCTGCCTGACAGCATTTGTGGAAGTTAAGGCAGGATGTCTGAGCCCATCCGGGCCAATCCAGCACTGCCAGATACGGGCTGTTTTTGGTTCACACCCAGACGTGAGTTGTTCCCGAGGATCAGAAATCTGAGTGCTGCCTTCGAGGCTTGCTGTCTTCCACATCTCTGGGACCTTTCTGATGCTGACCTTGGGCTCTGCCTCTCCACCCGGTCCCCAAGGGCGCTAACCTGAGTACCCAGCCATCCCTCGGTGTGGAAGGACCTGCAGAGCTGGACCAGGGAGAGGCACTTGCAGGGCCACAGATGCCGCAGGGCGGTGGGGAGCTGCAGTCTGCTCTGGACGCTCCTGATCCAGGCATCTGGGGACAGCACCGTGCGACAGCCACAGGGCACTTAGGACCCAAGCCGCTCAGCCGGGTGGCATCTAAGCATGGGGAATGCCCATGCCTGCTGGGACACCGTCTGCCACCAAGGGGTTGGCAGCCAGAGGGAAAGGGAACGAATTCCTCCTGGGGTGAATCACCACAGCCAGGTGTAGAGACGCGGATGCAGCAGGGGCGGGGCAAGCCCTCTGGGTCCCAGGCAGTGGGATCTGGGGTACAAGTGGAGAGTCACCCTGAGCTAGGACGCCAGGCCTTCATGTGCTCGGCTGTTAGGAAGGCCTCTGTCCCTGAGGAAGCCAGCGTGCACCCCTGTGAGGGAGCGGAAGCCGTCAGGGTGGGCGCTGATGCTCACTACTCAGCTGCACAGGATGAGGACCCCTGTGGCTGCTGGGCCTGGGCATCTCGCAGGGGTCACTGGCCAGCGGTCAGCACTTGGTCCTTTGGGCCCCGTCCCTGTCAGCTTCTCTCCCTGTCCTTGCATCACTGTGGCCACCTGGCCCTTTGTAGGGCCCTGGGGCCCTGCAGACAGGAACAGGGGTCCTGCCCCTGCTGACACTGCAAGCAGATGGCCCTGGGGGATGGCCGGGTGTGGGGGCCACACGTCTGCAGGGCCTCCATCTGTAGGTGCTGCTCCTGGACACCACTGCTGGGCCACCCTGGGAGGAGCCTGCTGAAGCGAAGGCCCTGCGCACTGGGGACGCTGGGGCTCCCTCAGGGTAGGCCAGAGTAGGACGCTGATGTTCCGTGTCCATGGCTGAGTGGTGGCCGCTGTGGGTGTGGTCTGATCTGAGCTGTTCACATGAGACTTGCTCACGAGGGTTATTCTGTGTGGACCCTTGAGTCCTGCGCCTGGTCGCACGCAAGGGACTGAGCAGTCACTGGGGCAGGAGAGATGTGGGGCTGGACGGAAATCCACGGCTCCGCACAATGTCCAGCAGCAGCAGTGGAGACGCAGTGCGGGCGGAGAGCTGTCCAGCATAGTGACGCCTGTGTGGCCAGAGCACGGCCTGGCTGGTGCCCGGGGCCCTCGGGTGCTTCTCCTTTCCCTCCAGCCGAGACACTCAGAGGGTGCTAGGGGTCAGGGAGGGGATGGGAGCCAGTCAGCCCTGCCCCTGTGCACAGTGACCACAGCTCATGGGGATGTCGGTGGCCATCTGTGACCCAGCTCAGCAGCACGGTCAGGAATGGCTCCGAGTCCTCAGCTCTCTGTGCTTACCCTTGGGCCCTGCATGTGCTCCCCACCTCCCAGTGCCAACCCCACCAGGCAAGTCCCACGCTTTGGTCTCCGGCCTGGTGCAGCCCGGGTCGGGCAGGCTGCGGTGGGGGCTGTCCCATGCCAGGCAAGTGGCTCCCTCCTCGCCCAGGTGTGAATGTCTCAGCTGCCCAGTGTGAGTGGTGGAAACAGGCCATGGGTGCCATATCTGTCCTCAGACTTCCCGGGCTGCCCCCAAGCTCCAGGCCCCCCTGTTTGGAACTCCCACCGTGTGAGTGAGCCACAGGGCTTTGTCTGCCCTGCAGCAGAGGTGGCACAGTGTCTGTGTGAGGGACACGGCTCTGGAGACAGGGACACTGGTCCAGAGCATCCGCTTGGTTCTGCTCTTGCTCCCCCTGAACGATGGCTCAAGGGGGCACAGAGTTCTGGACCAACTGAGTACTCAGTGGGCACCCTGCCTCAGTTTCTCCTCTGGCTGGCGCTCCCTCATGGGCACTGTGCCTGTGTCTCCCTGGTTCCTGTGGGGTCTCCTGCAAGTGTCCTCTCGGGCGCAAATTGGTGGCAGCACAGTCCCCTGCCTGCCTAGTCCTTCCCTGGCCACCGCATGCTGGTCGCCTGCTGGGTATATGCCAGCCCACAGCCCCCTGGGCTCGGCGTGCACACCGGGAATCTTGGAGGACCGGCCCCGGGAGAAGGCACTTCTGCTCAGGACCTGACCCCGCCCTCGCTGACGTCGGCCTGCAGAGTGGGGACTGGCAGACCATTAGGGGCATCTGTGTCCTCTTGGACTAGAAATTTGAGTCTGGGGCCTTTGAGGAGCAGAGGGACAGTGGTCATCTGGTTTGGATTTTTATGAGTCTTGATGGCTTCGTCGGTCCTCAAGGTCTGGCTGAACTCTGGAGCTCAGGGAACAGCTGCTATGGAAAATTGAGGCACCAAGCAGCTCCAGGAGCCCCAGGGGCCCTGGGGCCCTGCAAGATGGCGGAACCTTCTCCTCCAGCCCGGCTGAGGTGGGAAGGGGGCGCCCTCTGGAGGGACTGTGCACCCAGCGGCACCCTTGCCCCCTCTGTTCGCCACCGTGCCCGGCCCTGCCCAGCGGGCAAGGCAGGAAGGAGCGGCAGGCGCCGAGGCTGCGTCCATCTGCAGACAGAGCCTGGGGCTGGGCAGGGTGCCCTCTTTCTTAGCTCAGCCCACCCTGGCCAGCGAAGGCCCTGGCGCCCGGCGGTGAGTCCGCCTGCCCTGGGCTGGGCATGGCCTCCGCTGTTTGAAGGCAGTGCGAGCCCGGCTCCTCTCTCTCTCTCTGAACGGACTCCTTTGTTTCCCACTCGTTCTGAGTCTCTGTGCCAGCAGTCAGTCAGCGTTAAAAATTCCCTGCTTAAAGATGGACCGACCAGGAGTGGCTGGGGAGGGAGGGACTCGGACTTGGACACAGGATGCCCGCCTGCCCAGGGCTCGTGTGTCCTCAGCCTGGGCGGCCCAGCCACCCTGTCCTCCAGCCCTCACACTTGCAGGCTCGTGTACACCCAGCCCCAGCCCGGCCACCTGGGCGTGCACACCACACACCAGCCTTCTGTGCCTTGCAGCTGACGCCAGCGTGTCCATGGGTCAGTGGGTCCCCGGAGAGGAGACGAGGTCCCGCAGGGGACAGCGGGTCCCCACTTAGAGACAGGCACCTTGGCCTGGCCACGGGGGACAGCTGGCCCTGAGCTGCCTCCTGGGGTCCTGGCCCCTCCCCAAGCCGGCGCCTTCTCTGTCTGAGGGAGGAGCTTGGAGAGGGCCAGGTGGAGGCCCGGACAAGTGCTGAGGCTTTGAGACACACTGTGGAGGCCGAGGTGGGCTCTGCTCCTAGATTTCTGCAGTGGGAGGGCCCAGCCAGGCCAGTGGAGGGGAGCAGGGCGTGGCAGGAAAGGGGCAGGCACAAGGTCAGCCTCCCCAGAGGCCCGTCCTCTCCTGTCCTCCTCTCAGACCTGTGTCCAGCAGAGAGCTCGACCTCCACCCTCCCAAGTGTCCATTCAGATGACACCCAGAGGCGCATCCAGCACCCACATGGGCACCCAGGGGCTCCCTGCACCGAGGGGTGGGTGTGAACCATCCCCAGCTGCCACAGCCCTTCCTGTGCCAGGCTGGCCTGGGGCTCAGGTGACCTGGTCTGGGCCAAGGAGAGAAGCTGGGGTTCAGAGTGTCAGCGAGGTGGGAGGAGCCTCGGTCCTCAGGCCCCTAGCTGCCTGCAGGCATCAGATGTGGCCACGTCCACAGGCAGCCGGAGCCTGAGGAGCTCTGTCCACCCCTGCCTGAGCCTCATGACCTGGCAGCTCTCCACCCAGAGGTGCAGCCCACCAGGCTGTGCTTTGTGGGTTTACACCAGCCCGACTGGGACTGAAGGTGTCCGGGCAAATCGCACCTCCCTGGAAGCACGGACTTACAGCATGGGTGACACCGTGCACACTGCACTGCCCTTGTGCCTCAGGGGCCAGAGATGGCCTGCAGTCACAGGAGGACGCTGTGTCACTTTCAAGGCGGCTGGGGCCCAGAGCCAAGCCCCTCAGCCCCAAAGGCACCCAGGCGGGCTGCTCTGGGTCACGCTCCCCGGGACAGGTTTTCACATCTCTGGGCAGTGGGCAAAGCGGGCCTGCTCCTCCCAGACCCCCAGGACCTCCCTAGGCTGGCCCCAGCCCCTTGGGGCACCTGTCACCCACCCTGTGCCCACAGTCCCTCATGGCCAGCCCCGGCAGTGTGCCTGAGCCGGGTCCCAGGCTCTCCTCAACCCCGATGTCCTTCCTGGTGGAGGTGGTGGCCGCTCCTCAGATGAGCCGTCCCTGGGTGCAGGGCTGTGGCGGCCGAGCCTCACTCCCACCCTCCTCCAGGTCACTGGCTGTCGGGCCACAGTTCTCCGCCCTGGGCAGCCACCCGGTCCTCTGTGCCACCATCCCTGGCCTGGTGCCCAAGCAGCTTCGCTTCTGCCGGAACTATGTGGACATCATGCCGGGCGTGGCCGAGGGCGTGAAGGTGGGCGTCCAGGAGTGCCAGCACCAATTCCGGGGCCGCCGCTGGAACTGCACCACCGTCAACGACAGCCTGGCCATCTTTGGGCCTGTGCTTGACAGAGGTACGAGGGTCCAGGGGTCCCGGGCTCGTGGGGTTGGGCCCTGCCCCAGTGCACTCTGGTCGCTCTCAAGGGTAGCGGAGCCAGATGCTCACTGCTGCTGGGCCTCTGACCTGCGCACCCCTAGGACCTTGAGTCCAGGGTGGGGGACAGAGACACTGACAGAGAGAGGAGCAGAGAGGGAGAGACAGAGGCAGAGACACAGAAACAGGCAGAGACAGAGAGAGACAGAGACCCAGAAACGGAGACACAGAGAGGCAGACAGAGCAAAGGGGGCAGGAAAGACAGAAACAGAGACAGAGAAGCAGATAGGGAGAGAGACAGAAGGGGAGAGAAAAGGAGAGACAAGGAGGGAGCGCACTGGAAGAGCCCATGCCTTTCCTTAGAGGCAGGGGAAGTCAGTACCTGGACACACCCAGAACCTGCGGGCAACGCCCCATCTGTCCCCAGGGGTTCCCGCGGGACCTCCTCAGTCCCTACCCCGGGCTCCACCAGGCCCCAGGCCGCTCATCGCTTCCTGCTGGTGGTGCCTGCGTGTTACGCCAGCACTCTGGGAGGCTGAGGCAGAGGGACTGCAACTTCAAGCCCATTCGGAACAAGTTAATGTCTTAAAGAGACTCTGTCTCAAAATCAAAAATAAAAGAGAGGCCTGGGATGTAGCTCAAAGCTGGGACTCTGGGTTCAATCCTCAGTAGAGGACGAAAGTCCCTAGAGCCTGAGTGTGAGACTGTGGCTGGCTTCTTTCCTGGGGCGTGGTCCTCTCGGGCTCACCCGTGTAGGGGCCCCGGGCAGCACGTCGGTCCTCTTCACAGCTGACTACTACTCCACCTCGGATGGCCCAGATCTGTATCCATGCACCAGCTGGTAGGCGCTTGGGTTATCCTCACCTTTGACTGCGGGACCAGTGCTGCTGGGAGGGAGCTTTCTTGGCCAAGCTTTCCTCTGAATGTCTGCTTTCAAGTCTTTTGGGTACATAATCAGGAGTGGGACCTGGGTCTTGTGCTAATTCTAATTTGGTTTTTAGACAAATCGCTGCAACACATGGGCATGTCGTGGTATTTGATTTGCACGGCCTGGTGGCCAGAGGCGCTGACTGTGTGCATCTTCCTCAGAGAAACAGCATCCTCTGCTTGCTTCCAGTTGAACTGTCTTTTAGCTGTGGAGCTGCGAGTGTTCTTTATAGATCCTCGGTGCCAGGCGTTTCCAGACCTGGGGCTGACAGACACTTCCTCCCTGGTGGGCTGCCTTTCCCCCTGGTGACGGTAGACTCTGCACACACCGTTTCTAGCTGCACCGATGTCCACATCACTCAGATGTCACAGAAGTAAGAATTGCCCAATCAAGAACCGCAAAGGCTGCGGCTGTGTTTCCGCTGTGAGTTTAATGGTTCATCTACTATGCTCAGGTGTCTGACCATCTGGAGTGAATGTTTGTGTGTGGCATGTGCTGGACCCAGCATGTGGACATCTGGTCACCAGCACACACCCAGGTGCTGTAGCTTTAGGGCGTATTTCGAACTCGGAAATCAGGAGGCAGGAGTCTCCCAGCTTGGTTTCTTCTTTCCAAGACTGCTTTATCTGTTTGGGGTCCCTCACAATTCTCTGTAAATTGTAGGACCAGATTTTCTATTCCTGGAGGAAAAAAGGCCCTTGAGACAGTGATGGCTGTGTTGAATGCACAGCTTGCTGGAAGCGTGGCCGCGCCCAGCATCCTGGCCTGGCCGATGGATTCTTCTCGTTTCTTCAGAGCTTCCTCGTGGTCTCAGGACACAGCCTTCCACCGCCTTGTTAGCGGATTCCTAAGCACTTCTTCACTTTCGAAAGTGAATCGTCCTCTTAATGTTGCTCCTGGATTGCTCCTTGCTAAGATATAGAAGGACAGCTTTTGTGTAGAGGGTTACTGTCTGTGTTTCAGTCCTGTGTCCTGCGTGTTTGCTTGATTTGTTTGCTGGCTTTGAGCTTTCCTGTTTTCTGGTTTTGTTTTGGTGGATTCCATGGAGTTTCCTATCTCTAGGACAGTGTGTGAAGAGAAATAGCTCTGCCTGCTCCTTTTATCTCTCTCTCCGCCCTGGTCCTCTGGCTGGGGTCGGCATGCGTGCTACATGGAAGGTCCAGCCGGGTCTTTTTGCCTCCTCCCCTCTTAGGGCGGCAAAATTCAGCCTTCGGCTGCCGAGTGTGCAGCTGGTTGTGATAGTTGCCCCACCCTGTGTCGCTGCTCTAGGTTGGTTTTCGGTGCTGTTGAGAACCCTTTGGTGAGCTGCAGCTCTTCCTGACAGAATCTGGAATGACAAGACCTTGCTGCCTAGAGCCTGGACGCTCTGGAGACTTCTGTGCCCAGGGGGCACCCTGTGTCCTGTGGCCCTTGGGGCTTCCTACCAGGCTCTGGAGTGGGGACACAGACCCCATGCTCAGTGGAGTGTCCAGGTCACTCTGGAGTCCTGTGTGAAGGGCAGGGGTTCCCGGGGTGTGACCTGGTGTTCTGTGGCCGAGCAGCAAGTAGCATGGAGAACGCTGGGCCAGGATGGGCGGTGCTGAGGACGCCACTCGCAGGGCAGGCCGGTCGTGCTGGGGCCCTGCCGTCCTGGGGTCCACTGCTTGGCCCGTGTCTCCCTGGCTTCCTCCTCTCATCTGTGGCTCAGGACACACGCTTGGGGTTTCCAGTCACCCTCTGCCCCCCCACACCTCTGCCTTGGTCCAGACTGGCCCCAGCGCTCCTGTGCCTTGAAGCCCCTGCCTCTAGTCACAGCTCCCTCCACGCCAGCCGCCCATGGCTCCTCCGCTCCCCACCCTCCTCCAGCCATGGGCTGCATTTTGTATCCCCCACTTCCTACACCAAGACCTACCCAGTGTTGGCTGTAGGAGGGCTGTTGGGAGGGTGCAGCCTCATGGGTGGGACAGGCCCCTGTAAAAGGGACCCCCGCACCCTGCCGTGTGCAGACCCAGGGAGGCCATCTGTGACCAGGAAGCCAGATGGAGTCTGCCAGGCCTTGACCTGGGGTCTCCAGTCGGCAGGATGGGGACAGAGTCTGCCCGCATGGGCCGAGCCCATACATCATGCTGGCCGGACGGGCCAGGCCTCTCCCCCCACCACCCAGTTCGGTGCAGCTCACCTGGCACAGCCTGGGGACTCTGTGGAGGGAAGGGATGGCTCTGCAGTGATGTGGCCAGGACAGAGAGGGACAGAACAAGGGAGGCCCCGGCTGTAGCTGCTGGCGTTAGGTGGGGCCAACTGAGGAGGGGTCCCCAGAGCACTCAGAGCTCGGGGCCCTACTCAGGAGGGAGCTGGAGCTGAGAGCCTGGGGCACCTGTGGCCTCCGGTGGCCACCTACACAGGGGCGGGTACCACACAGTCATGCACACTGGTGTCATGCTGCTGGTCACAGCTGCACCAGCACAGAGGCCCAGACAGTGCTGGGTTCCCGTGTGTGACTCCAGAGCCAGCAGAGCCCGGGGCTCCACCCCGGGGTGGGGAGCAGGGCCTTGGGGAGGAGGCAGGAAGCCGTGCCAGAGACCTCAGGGCTGCGCCGGGGGACCCTGCTGCTGCACAGAACATCGGGGGTGAGGGCACCGTCACTACTGACCCCACTGGTTAGAGGCAGGAAGATAGCCCAGGACCCCCAGCCTGAGTCACACACAGGAGCAACAGAGCCCTCCTAGGGTGGAGTGCACCCTCGGAAGGGCCCAGCTGTTCAGAGGAGCCCCCTCGGGCAGACTGCAAACCCAAAGTGGGCTAGGAGCACCGAGTCCTCAGCCTAGTGGGCCCTCAGTCTGCTGAAGGCGGAGCCCAGGTCTGGGGTACACCTCAGGTCAGCCCTCCACTTCAGGGCTGAGCGATATTCACTGTGAAGCCAGACCACGTGCTGCATGTCCCCCACCCATCGGAAAGCTGGGTTGCTAGCTTCTTGCCTATCGTGCACCTCACTGCCTCTGAGTGGACACCGGTTTTCCTCATCCTCGAGGTTCTGTTCATCATTGTGAGGCTGTGCTGGACTTTCCCAAAGCTCCTGCCATACTGCTCATGGACTCAGCAGAGCACGCGGCCCCGCCTTACGCACAGCCTGTGGTGGCAGCTGTGTCTGTCTGTCTGTCACTCTGTCCGTCCTGCCACAAGGGAAGGGCTCTCCCATTGAGTGGTAAGAGTCCTTTATATTGTCCTGCACATGCATTCCCTTATCCAACACAGGATTTGCAAACATTTTCTTCCTTCTGTGCATTTGATGGGTCAGTTGATTTTAATTGTTTGTTTTTTTGAGACAGGGTCTTGCTATGTAGCCCAGGCTGGCCTCCAATTTGCAGCAATCCTCCTGCCTCAGCCTCCTGAGTGCTGGGATTACAGGTGTGCACCACCACGCCTGGCTCTTCTGTGGGTTTTTTCATTCTCTTGAGGATGCTCCTTGGAGCACAGAAGTTTTTAACTTTGATGAAATCCAATTCTACTTTTTCTTTGGCAGCTTGGTGTTTGGCAGCATAGCTAAGAAACCACTGCCTAACCCAAAGTCATGAAGATTTGCTCTCATTCCATTTTCTTATAAGAGTTTTATAGCTTTCACCCCTCTATTTAGGTCTTTGATCTATTTTGAGTTATTTTGCTTGTGCTATGAGGTAGGGGTCCAACTCCAGATATTCTAGCAAAGAATATTCTTGCCCCCATTGGGTGGTCTTGGCGCCCTCATCAAAGTTCATTTGGAGTGGGCGTGGTGCCACATGCCTGTAATCTCAGCACTCAGGAGGCTGAGGCAAGAGGATTCCCATGAGTTTGAGGTCAGTCGGAGCTACAACAAAGAGTTCAAAGCTGGCCTGAACTACACAGGAAGACCCTTTCTCAAAAAAAAAAAAAAATCAGTTGGCCCTCAGTGTACTCCAGGTGTCTGTGCCATTCCCATCTTCATGGCAGGGCCATGCTGTCTCCCTCTCTCTCTCTCTCTCTCTGTATCTCTCTCTGTATCTCTGTCTCTGTCTCTGTTTCTCTCTTCTTTTTCAGGATTGAGAATTGAGCCCAGGGCC